ACTTTCTGACTCGAAGTTACTCGAACGATGGAGGTGGAAAATGAATTTTTCTTCACTAATGGAAAGAAATCTCGAGGAGTATACACACGCGCGCGCGCGCACAGAAGAGATGACAATCCTGAGATTCGACTCAAAAACTCGTCTCCTTTCGAATATAAATCGAGTTATCGAAAACTGTTATCCTCTGAGAAAATTATCTACTTGCAAAAAAGTGAGACTTTTAATTTTCTCGAGGGATGTTTTCGTTCGAGGTGTAACTTTTGCGAGAGAGGATTCGTTGGGGGGAACAGGTGGAGGATGAGGGGAAGGGGAGAGGAGGAAAGCGAAAAAAGGCATCCGCGCGTGGAAAAGCGGCGCCATATTAGAGGCGACCTGTTTCGAAACGGCCGCCTTGGGAATCGACGCCTAAGGAGCTCCTCGAGACCGCCTTAATGAGACGCTCGCTCCTTGCCTTTTTCTCCTCCTCCTCCTCTCGCCTCCTGTCCCCCCCCCCCTCTCCGTGTTTGTTTGCCAATCTTCCCCGGTTAAATTCACGCGACACACGAGAGTATAAAGAATGTATAGAGGAGAAGAAAAGAACGATTTTTTCCACGCCACGTCTCTCCTTCGAAATTCATTTTTCTCCTTCGTAGTAATTTCGATCGAAACGGTCCGAGTTTGCGATCAAAGATGAGGGAACAATTGAGAAATTGGCTCGATGGGACAAATATTCTGTATGGAGTAATTACATGTTTAATAAATATTCGTTTTCCACGATTAGATTGCAGGAAGAGTTCTTGCGACACGCATCTTGAAAAGTAATCGTTAAACATCTTAATTTAGGAGATAAATCACTCGTGTCCAACTTACTCTTCGTTCGTTTCCCCTGGATATATCTGGAAAAATTCTCGTAGGAGAGTAGGAGAAAAGTGGACAGAAACGAGTCGAGTTGGATTTTATCGGGAGAGGATCGAGAGTTGATTGGTTGAAAAATGTAGGAGCCAAAGAAATCCGACCAAGTTCCATAAATATTCAACGCTTTTATTTTCTAAAAAAAAAAAAAAAAAGGAAAAAATAAAATACACGAGAGTGTATACACCTCCTCCTCTTGAATACACGTTAACACGTTCATTTTCGCCTTTACACGCAACATTACTCGCCACGCCGATCGAACGAATAACGAGACGCGCCATTTTGAAGCAAACAAACGAATAAGAGGCGCCCGTTCATTCGTTGCCTCGAAAGGGTTGCATCGTCGTGGAGCTCGAACGAGGAGACGTTATAGGCAAAAAGGGAGAAGTGAAAGGGCAAGAAAAGGAGCAAAACAGGGGCGCAATAGGGAGGAGGAGCAAACAGGATGATTAAATATTCCTCTCTTCCAATGTGGAAGATCTCACTCCCTGATGGTCGAATGTTAAAAATTACTTTTTCCTCGCGTTTTTCCCCCTTCCTGCGAAAATTGGACGCCGAGGTTTCCGCGATATCGTTCACTTTCACATGCGGCTCTAATGCGGCAGATCCAATTACAGGCATTCGATTAATTGCATGACAGTGCAGCTGTCCCCTCTTGACGCGATATTACGTTTCACGCTCCTAAATTTAGACGAGTTTACATGGGCGGGTCAGAGCGAGGTCCGTCTCCGACTCGCGGATCGCGTCGATCCTGACGCACTCGCCGATTTTAAGTTGTTAAAATCGGGTGGAGGGATCTCGGTTCTATTCTCGTGAGAATTTTTGGTGGAAGGTGGGTGCCAAAGCTCGCTTCGGGACGTGTCCTTGAATTCTAAATAAGGGGACCAAGATTGGATGATTTAAGACGTTGAATGTTTCAAGATATTAATTTCACGTATGAAAGTTTTCTATTTTTCCTGGTCGAAAATAATTTAAAGGTATTATGTGAAAGGAACTTTTCCATATATGATGATTCCAAATAAGAGGAAGATCGCTCAAAAATAGTAATATCACGTATGTTTGTGTAAAACTTTTCTATACTCATCACGAAGCGTTTCCTCGCCACAATAATTCTAAGATGGCGTTCAGGGACGCTATCAAAAATATTAATATCACGTATATTTATACAAAACTTTTCTATACTTTTACAATAATTTTAAAATGGACGTTATCAAAAATATTAATATCACGTATGTAAAACTTTTCTATACTCATCACTAAACTTTTCCTCGCCACAATAATTCTAAAATGGCGTTCAGGGACCTTATCAAAAATATTAATATCACGTATATTCGTGTAAAACTTTTCTATACTCTTCCTCATCACGAAACTTTTCTTCGCTACAATGATTTCAAATAAGAAGACAAAGATGGCGTTGCTCAAAAATATCACGTATGTTTGTACAATATTTTTCTGTATATTCTTCCTCGCCACAATGATTCTAAGATGGACGTTATCAAAAATATTAATATCACGTATGTACAAAACTTTTCTATACTCATCACGAAGCTTTTCTTTGCCACAATAATTCTAAGATGGCGTTCAGGGACCCTATCAAAAATAATTATATCACGTATATTTATACAAAACTTTTCTATACTTCTACAATAATTCTAAGATGGACGTTATCAAAAATATTAATATCACGTATGTACAAAACTTTTCTATACTCATCACTAAACTTTTCCTCGCCACAATAATTCTAAAATGGCATTCAGGGACGCTATCAAAAATAATTATATCACGTATATTTATACAAAATTTTTCTATACTTCTACAATAATTCTAAGATGGCGTTCAGGGACATTATCAAAAATATTAATATCACGTATATTCGTGCAAAACTTTTCTATACTCTTCCTCATCACGAAACTTTTCTTCGCTACAATGATTCCAAATAAGAAAACAAAGATGGCGTCGCTCAAAAATATCACGTATGTTTGCGCAAAACTTTTCTGTACTCATCACGAAGCTTTTCTTTGGCGTCCCTGAACGCCATCTTAGATCTTATTGTGGCAAAGAAAATCAAAAATAATTATATCACGTATATTTACACAAAACTTTTCTATATTTTTCCTCGCCACAATAATTCTAAGATGAACGTTATCAAAAATCATGTGTGTACAAAACTTTTCTGTACTCATCACTAAACTTTTCCTCGCCACAATAATGGTTATCAAAAATAATTATATCACGTATATTTATACAAAACTTTTCTATACTATTCCTCGCCACAATAATTCTAAGATTCAGGAATTGTTATCAAAAATATTAATATCAAACCTTTTCTATCCCCTTCCTCATCGTAAAATAATTCAAACATATTATTTTCCCCCTTAGGCCCAATCCACCGCGAATAAATAAAACAAAAATAAAAATAAATAAAAATAAAAATCACGAAACTTGCTTTCCTTCCTGCCCAACAAGAGGCGGATAAAAGGGGCATAAGTTTGGCGAGGAAGCGAGCGAGCGTGACGTCGACTCGAAGCTCGAATTAATGCTCGAAGTAATTCAACGAGGCAGCCAGGGGCGAGGGGGGTGGAGTTTGGGCAACAAAACATTGGCTCGTTATCGGCAAGCGTATTGCCGTCGCCGAGCCGGCAAGGACCGTCCAAGATAAATATCGATCCTCCTCGTCCAACTCGCCCCTCCCTCCCCCTCTTGAATGGACGCTCTCGCGTCAAACCGCGTTGCGTCTCGAATCTCCTCGATCCTCGCCTCATTCCTCAAGTCTCGAATCTATCCAGCGAATTATCGTCTGATTACGGGCGGTGGGGGGCGGGGCCAAGGGAGGCCAGGAGAGCCGAGGAGAGCCCCGCGGGGAAAGGGAGGGCGGCGCGCGAAGGCGCGCGCGTCGGAAGACACGGCGGGCGCAATTAAGACGTCCAACGGCAATTAGCCGGCTTTACGATCGGCTTGCGTAAAACCCGATCATTCCGGGCACGCACGCACGCACGCACGCACGGATCAGGTTCTTTCCCTTCCCTTTGCCGGAACAGCAGCTCCTATTTTCGATCGCGAAAAATATCGTGAGAGTACATCCTCCTCTTCCTCGAGTGGAATTAGGATCGATCGAAAATCGAATCGAGGAGTAATTTCGCGCTAATATCATTGGTACACGTGGTGGCGAATTATAAGGCGTGTAAAAATATCGGTCCTTTATATTTCGTAGATTATTTTATATATTTTCTCCCTCGAATGGTTAATTACGTGAAAAAAATCTCTTAAAATGGCTATTCTCGTTTCAGGGATGATTTACATTTGTGCTCCCTTGTATCTCAAATTCATCAGAATTTTGCGATTATCTAGTAATTCTATGGAAAAAAAACGTTGCTCCACAGTCGTCCAAGAAAGAATAATATGATATAATATTAAGAAAGAATTAGCAGGCTAAGGGTCGATTAATTGTTCCAGGATGAGTGTCTTAACGATTATTAAGTAATTCTATGGGAAAAAAATGTTCCTCCACAGTCGTCCAAGAAAGAATAATATGATATAATATTAAGAAAGAATTAGCGAGTTAAGAGTCGATTAATTGTTCCAGAGTGTCGAGCAGCGCCTTGACGATTACTTAGAGATTGGAAAAAAATGTTGTTTCACAGTCGTCCATGAAAGAATAATATAATATAATATTAAAAAAGAATTAACGAGCTAAGGGTCGATTAATTGTCCCAGGACGAGTGCCTTAACGATTATTAAGTAATTCTATGGGAAAAAATGTTCCTCGACAGTCGTCCACGAAAGAATAATATAATATAATATTAAAAAAGTATTATCAAAGGATTAATTGCTCCAAGATGTCGAGCAACGCCTTGACGATTACTAAGTGATTCCAGAGATTGGAAAAAAACGTTGTTTCACAGTCGTTCGCGAAAGAATAATACAATTCGACATACTAAAAAGTATTAGCGAGTGAATTAATCGTTCCAGGATGTCGAGCAGAGGCTTAACGATTACTAAATAATTCTATGAGAAAGAAGGTTGTCCCACAGTACAGTTCGCGATAGAATAATTTAAAAACTCGATAATATTAAGAAACCAAGGTACTAAGCGTGGATGAATTCTTGCAGCAAGGATGTCGAGCAGCGGAGTGACGAGCGGGCCGGTGAGCCAGGTGTGCCGGCCGCACTTCCACAGCTCGGTGCTTCACCCGTGGCTGTCGGGGAGCGGGGCGGACACGTCGAAGACGCCGTGGGGATTCCCGACGACGACGGGCTCGGCCGGGAGCGGGGTGACCGACGACAAGCCCCAGAGCCCCCTGGGATCCTCCCTGCCCCCGAGCACCGGCAGCCTGTCGAGCCACGGCGGGGCGGGGGCGGGCCACCACCTATTCTCCTTCCCCCCGACGCCCCCCAAGGACGCGACCCCCGACAGCATCACCGCGAGCACCACCTCCACCGCCAACAACAACAACAACAACAACAACAACAACACCACGAGCGCCAACAACAACGCCAACAACCCCCTGTCGGGGCTCGGGGGTGGGGCGAGCAGCGAGTACCAGGCGGCCGTCGCCCACGCGGCGGTGATGGGCGCGTTCATGCACCACCAGGACGCGCTGGGCGGCGGGGGAGCGGGCTCGTGCGACGTGAAGCCGAGCGTGATGCTGACCCATCACCACGGCGCACCGTCGCCGCCCCATCAACAGCACAACGGGACGGCGAACGGCGGGAACGGAGGGACAGGGGCGAGTGGAGGCGGCGGGGCGAGCGGCCAGGTGAAGCAGCGCGAAGGTAATAATCAGTCGGGCAGCCAACAGGCGAGCACCGCGCAACAGCAGCAGCAACAGCAGCAACAGCAGCAGCAGCAGCAGCAGCAGCAGCAGCAGCAGGAGGCCGCGTATCAGGGGAGCAACGTGGCTGGCGGGGGTGGCGGTGGTGGTGGCGGGGGGGCGAGTTCGCCCTCGTGCAGGGAGAGTTACGCGGCCGCTGCCGCCGCCGCCGCCGCAGCCGCGGCCGCGGCTGCCTCCAACACCCACCACGCGACCTCCGGATCCCAGTACGACCCGGCAACCAGCGCGTATAACATGTACCAGCACCTGCAGTATCCTAGTACCACCCACCACCATCACCATCACCATCATCACGCCGCCTCCTCGTCGTCTTCTTCGTCTTCGTCCCACAATCCGCACAACGGGGCCGCCGCGGTCTCCGGTATATTCGGCCACCACGCGGCGGCGGCCGCGGCGGCCGCCGCGGCAGCCGGGGCCGGGAACGCGGCCGGCGTGGCCGGCGTTAACGTCGACTCGAAGCTGTTGGTCGGCCACGTGCACGCCAACACGCCGAGCTCGCCTTCCGCGCAGCAGCAGCAGCAGCAAAAGCCCAGGAACAAGTCGAGAACGTCCGCCGGTAAGCGGCACGCCTACCAACCTTCCCCCCCCCCCTCCTCACTTTTTCTTTTCTTTTTTTGTTGTTTTTATTATTATGTCGGGTTCATGCGTTCTTTCGGTTATGGGTTTTTTCTCTCTCCTGGATTTTGTTCTTCGTTCTTCCGTCTCTGGGAAGAGGCTGGGGAAAGAGTGCGGTCGTTTCACACTCGCGAAATTTTTCTCTTTTTCTTTTCGCTCGAAGAATTTTTTCGGGGGGAGGGGGGGGGGATTTTAATCTTGGGTTGAGAAGTGTGAATATGAAGTTGAAGCAACTTCGTTCGAAATTTTAAGAAAGGTAATTGGTTAGAAATTAAATTAAATGTTTATTTCATATTGTTATTATTATATATAACGTTTCGAACGGATAAAGAATCATCAGAAGCAAGTTTAGCTCGTAACTCGGGGTATTTATAAATTTTGCCCATCGCTGTTTAAGGTATGCGTAAGTGGAATGATTCTTTCGTGATCGGACGCAAAGTTGCACGAAACGGCCGTACTCGAGTTTGAGGGTATTTTTCTTTCCCTTTATTTTTCTTTCCCTTTGGTTTGACATTAACGCTATTGATTTCCCTTTGTTTCGCTTTGCGTTCGTATGCACGAACCCCAAGTATGCGCAAGTAATTATTTCCAAGCGCACACGGGTTTCGTGCGTCTTTTCGCTTTGAGTTCCAGTATCCTCGGTTTGCTTTCACTTTTGTCACACCGGTTACTCTTTCCTTGGTTCTTTTTCTTTTTCTTTTTTTTTTACTTTATCGACTCGAGGTTCCAATCGATATTCCTCGAGCACACTCGTTCCTAGAAACGAGTAGTTTTGGTGGAGGAATACGATGAATTTTTTTTTCCTTTTTTTCAACGGGAAACCTCGAGTTCCTCTTTCGTTTCGTTTCGTTACGTTACGTTTTGTTTCGTTTCGTTTAAAAGTCCCCCGACGAGCTTTTGGTGGCGGTCGTTTTTCGCTTACGATTCGTTGATACGAACGGTGAACACGTTTAATATATATATATATATCTTGTTTTTTTTTTTTCTTTATTTTTTTATCGAACGAGCTGAGTGTTGTCGGCGAGAGGGAGACACACAAGACGTGTATTTTTGTATTTTTGCCTCACCCGTGTGTTTTTTTGAGTGGCACCCGCGAAACGTCGAGCGTGAACAGCACCACACCTGGTTGATTTTTTGTGATTAAGGCCGATGCACAGGGTGGGGGACACGAACGAAAAAGGAAACGCCTAGACATTGCCGATTAATTATTTTTCCGTCTTCACGCGAAAAGCTTGTCGCAAATTTTCCAAATTCTTCGTGCTGCGAATTTTAAGAAACAAAAAAAAAAAAAAAAAAAAAAGGAAAAATAAAATCCATTTCTCATTTCTCGCGTCGAAAAGTTTTCCTTTTTATCCGAAATTGTATCCGACTTTTAAACAATGTTCAATGCAATTCATTTGTAAAAAAAAAAAAAAAAAATATACGCGAGATTCGAAACTTCCTAATCTACGAGAACTTGGAAATCTCTTTTCTTCAGAACTCGTAAAAAAATTAATCTTGCGATTAATATTTTTTTCTCGTTAAGATTTCATGAAAATTCTTCCAATTTCTTTCTCCTTTTTTTTTTTTTTTTTTTCTCTATCAAAAATTTCACAACACGTTTCCCAAGACAAGATTTTCGTACATATTTTCGAAAATACGACGAGGATAGCATCGAGCGTCCAGTAACGGGCGACTCGACACGGCGCATTCCTTTCTCTACAGTACCTTTCTCTCTTTACGGATCGATATTTTTTATATAAATACACAGGTGTAAGACACGCGTGTAATACACACAAGCGCGGGCGAATCAGCACACACGTACCTTCTTCTTCTTCTTCTTCTTCTCTTTTTTCTTTCTCTCTCTCTCTCTCTCTCTCTCTCTATCTTTCTATCTGTCTATTTCGATGTGGTGTGGCTACATGCTACCGTTTTTTGGTTTTGTCACTGGCAAAATAAAATCTCCCTCTCGAAAGATAGAAAAAAAAAAAAAAAAAAAAAAAAAANAAAAAAAAAAAAAAAAAAAAAAAAAGAGTCCACGGACCAATCGCGTGCGTCTTTTTGCCGTGCTTACTCGCACGATTTTTTTTCACACTTACCAAACTTCCAACGAGATATTTCGATCTTTGAGTGTCTACCGATCTCGCTCAAACGCGATATAACACGAAGGGATAATACGCGAAAATACTCGATGAACTTTCAAGTAAGTCGCGTTTTGTATCAAGAAAGAACAAAAAAGAAAAAAAAAAATACGAAACGAATATATTTTCCACGACGAATTATTGCGCAACGATATATTGTGCATCAATTGGAATGAAAAGTAAATCAATCAATTCTACACTTTAAATACTTTTAAAGTTCATCCATCTTTTTTTTTTTTTTTCACATCGTATAGGGATACAATATAATACGTATTTTAAAAAAAAGAAATAGGAAAAAGAGAGACCACTCGAGGTGCACCAATTCCCCTCCCTCCTCTCAAGGAAAAAAATTCGACAAGGGGGGAGGGGGGGGGGAGGGACAGAAGTTAGAAGCTAAGGTTGAAAAAAATCAGGAGGGAGGAAAGATCTGGCGAATCTGGGTCGCCGGTGGCGATCGAAGGGGAGGTGGAAAGGGGAGGGGGAAATGGGAATGAAACGGTTGAAAAATGCCGGATACGTTGATTGCTGTAATAACAGTCGGTCTGCGCCGAGGACGGCGTGGTAAAAATCCTAATTCCGGGAACAATGGCCCGGCTTCGCGGCGTGGAAGTCCGCTAATTAAATCGACTTACGACACACGCAACGCGCACGTTCATACGCGCGCGCGCGCGCACGCGTACGAAGAAAAAAACCTCGGCCACGACGACGATGTGGCAAGACGAATCAAGACGGTGGATCGCGATTGGTGTTTAAGAGAACGTAAAGCTTTCCTCCCCCCCCCCCTCCTCCCCCGCTGGAAACACGAGTCGAAAGTAAAAATTTTGCATTTATAATTCGCGAGAGTGTTCGGTACATCGGTGCATGCACGAGGATGTAATTTTCATCTTCGTTAAAAACGATGTTTCGTCCGTTTAATAGGTGTAGAGATTTCTCTTGTTCGAGAATGATGGTTTTATTAATTAATCGTTAACGAAGAATCGCGAGGTGATTTTTTTTTTTTCTTTTTTCTCTTTTTCCTTTTTCTCTCTGCTCTTTTGCAAGGAGTGAAAATTGCAATTAACAGAGGCAGACAGATTTTGTTTAAGTCGATTTTCTCCTCGACACGTTTCATGCTTTTTGATTCGATGGTTGTTGGTCTTGGTCTTTTGTGTACCGAGCGGATTTTTAACCCTTGCCTCATCCCGAGGCGGGATTAATTATGCTCGTTGCATGTTAATTCAAATTTGCAAATTTAATTAAATTTCTAATTTTATTCTTTTGACACGTTTTATTAGTTTCTTCCTCCCGGGGAGAAGAAGTAAGCAATAAGCTTGTGATAAGGATCAGCAATTCGATTATAATATTCATATTCTTTAAAAAAAAAAAAAAAAAAAAAAAAAAAGAAAAAAAAAAATTTCTATTCTACTGTGTACAATCTTTACAATTTTTCAATGTTTATTAAGTTTCTAATTTTAATAATTCCTCGATAATAAAATTTCTAAAATTTGCAATGTAAATCAGCGGATCTGGGTAAATTTAAAAAATATGTTCAAGGATAAATGCGAAAAAAATCTTTTTCGTTACGTTGTTGTTTATTAAGAATTAAGAATTATTAACCGGTCAAGATTTCCACATCCACTTCTTGATTCGCTTCGAGGATTTACAAGAAAGGAGAGAATTTTCAAACAACGTTGAGATTATCATTAGAAGAACTTTAGAACGCCTGGTTAGAATATTAACACGTTAAGAATGATCGTTGCTGTGCAGTGATCGGTCGATAATAAAGAGAGAGAGACAAGAAATTGGCCGGGCGAAATTCATGACGGAACGCCGGTTTCCTCGTCCTGGATCATAATTCATCCGTTTATGGCAAAAGTGGCGCGAGGCAACCGGCTCGCTTTGGTCTCGTTCCTCCTCTCGGCAAAAGTCGGCTTTTCGTCGAAATAAAAACCTCTTTCTCGTAAAAATTACTCTTCTTCTGTACCGAGACGTTCAACAACAATCAACGATCGCAATTAAAACTAAATCTCGAGTGGTCGCCTCTGAGTGAACGCCTCTGGCCTTCCGACAAGATGTAAATTCTGTTTAACTGAGAATTGCTGTTGTAAATTAGGTCAGGTGTATCGGTGGATTATTATAATTCTCTTTTCTTTCTTTCTTCTCTCTTTTTTTTTTTTTTTTTTTTTAAATATATTTTAAATTGTATGCTATTTAGAAGAAGTATATATTCGAATCCTTTGGCCACGTCGGTCGCGATAGGTTCGATGGGAAAAAAAAAAAAAAAAAAAAAAAACGTCAAAACGACCAAGTCATCGGATTTTTTCCAGTAAAATGGAGAACGCTCGGTCCAATCTCGAGGAGGATGCAGCTCGATGGATCAATTCGAGAGACGCGGATTTCACGGTTCGAGGAAAATTCTTGTTCCATCATTGGATTGAATGATTTTCCTTTTCCCTTCCCATTAATCGATATTCCGAAAAATTTCAGGCACGTTTTCTCTCCGACACGCGTGGAAATAACAATGAAAAGAATAACGAGAAATTTGCCTGAAAGTTTGAACTCCTTCCTTCCTTGTTCCCATATCGTTTGGTGGGGGTTGAAACTAACGATACCAGGTTCTATTCTTCCTTCCTTCTTCCACTTTAATCTGAATCTCTCAGTCCCCTTGTATTAACAAGCCGCTATCGGACCAATGTGTTCGATCCACGGTCCTAAAGACTCTGCTTTTGCTCTGGTAATCGCTTGATATGGTATGTCTGCAACTGCATGCCACTTTTATCACCGATCTTCGTAACTTGGTGTTCGCTTCGAGCACGTTGAATTCTCGAAATCGCTCAATTTCGAATCATTTTCTCGCTTGGAAATATTCAAATTTTTACCACTATTCTATCATCTCGAGAAACCAGCGTGCACAAGCTTTTGTAACTCGATTGAACGATCGAACAGTACCTCGAAGTAAATCGAATTCTTCCAAACAACGATTGAAAATCCTAATTTTCTCAATTACTATATAGATAATTAAAGCGAAAATAAAGGAAAATAATAAACAGTAAGTAGATTGTAATGCGAGAAGAATTCGTTTTATCGGTCGTTCGATCGGTATCATTGAACGCTTGTCCTAAAATCACGTAACCTAAAAATCACGAGATTAATCGAATTCGTCGTTTCCACGGTATTCTTCCGATAGAGGGCCGCGAATGCGTGAATTGCGGCGCGACATCGACGCCACTGTGGAGACGAGACGGTACCGGTCACTACCTCTGCAACGCTTGCGGCCTCTACTACAAGATGAACGGGCAGAATCGACCTCTCATCAAACCGAAACGACGGCTGGTAAGTACCTAAGCTGAACCGCTTTCTTTCTTTCTTTCTGTCTTTTTATTTACTTGCACGATACATTTGGCGTGGATAGTTTCGGTCGAGAAGGATCGAAGACGCATACAATGTTCGTGATTTGAATTGTAAATCCTCTCCACGCGGAGAGGAAACTTTACGTAACTTTGTCGAGGCGTCTACGAAAAATATCAGAATCTTGTTAGAGATAAAGAGTGTATATTTCGTGTACACGTAACAGAGATCTCTGTTTATATCCGCCTTTCGGAAGTATTAGATTGATGTATAAAGGTTGTCGCTCTTACGTAACACGTGTAATATATTCATTTAGTTTTTGCCTCGTCTACATGTTGCTCGTTTAATTATATGAACTTCCTCGTATATTTTTCGAATATATCGTCTTGGATTAAAGGACTGATCAGTTTTATTAAAATATATTATTTGATTTAAGAAAAATTGGATGATAATTATATGTTTTGACGTCAAAATTGAAAATATGTCAGAAAGTGAGGTTAATTTAACTTTTAAATCATTTAAAAAGACAAGATCAAAAGAATATAATGATACATCTCATTGAAATTCTCTAATTACTTATCGAATAATAAATTGCATATAAAATTAGTAGTATTATATAGTGAAATAACACTATTATATAATTATATATATATATATATATATATATATATATAATTATTGATAAAATAAATAAAAAAATCATTATGGAAATATATTTCCAGATATTTAGAATTAGTTATTGCTTAAGCTCACTATTATATTTGCAGCTAATGCAAAAACCGAAAATTTTACACGACACAGAGGCTATCATTGTCCCTTTTCGTCGAACGGGAATCGACGATTCGTTGAAAAGCTCTCGTGCACCTGTCTGGCTCGTAAAAGCGATGTCCTTGATCGTTTCCTTGGCGCTCATCGAGCCGCACATGCTTAATTAATACGTGCTCGCGGTGCAACGGAGTTATGTGTTTCTCGCGATACGCAGATGCAGTCATCAGAATGCAAGATAAAACAAGGCCAAGCTAATTTCCTGTACGTGACCATTAACGCGCGACGGTGTGTTCCTGTTTGCGTATTCATCATCGATTAGAATATGTATGTATTTATGTATGTAAATACACGGCCCAAATTTTCCAAAAAAATGTATAGTGAAATTCAAAGAAAAGTAAAGTATGAGAATAGAATAATAAATTTCAATTTCTGAAGGTAATGAAGGCAACTTAGAACGCCACCATACGAAACAATTAGGAAATAGAAGATCACGCGATGTGAAGTGTAATAGTCGAGTCAAGATTCTATTAAGTGAATAGAAAATACGTTATGTGATTAAAAGGATGAAAAGGATAACAAAAATCATGATTATATTAACATTATAATCCGCACTTATTGTATTGAAAGTGAAATAATAAGGAAATAAAAGGAATTAATGAGAAGACTTCTTCACGATGGATACAGATTTCTTAAGAGGTTAGAAATTATTTTATTTTCTTTTTCTTCGTTCTTTATATATATATTCAGAAGTGGAATCGACAAGCGAAAATAATCACGTTATCACGTGTATTTATGATTTATGTTTATATCGTACATTTGTGAAATTATTTTTATGAAAGAAAAAAATGCGTCGAGTAAGGCTGTTTGAAAAATGATTTGAACACGAGGGAAAAGCATTAGAAATGGAAATTCGGGATTACGAGGGATATCGGTAGGACTTAGCCTAGGATCGATACCACGAAGGGTAACAGAGGCTTTCGTGCAATCGGCTCGTATAGTTCGTGTGAATTCGATCTATTTTCGTCGAGCAGGCTGGCACCTACGCAGACGAAATGGCGAAACTCGATATCAGTCTCGTCTTCCCTCGTTTCGTTCCTAGATTCATAAATTCTAACCGGTGTGGTTTATCCAACAGAATTTTTCATCGACGAGCTTCGCACTGAAAAATTAAACGGATCAAGTTCAATATTTACGGATGAATTCAAATGACATCCAATACGACGTTGGATTTAGGTTATACAGGTATCTTATTTAAAATTTTTCATTCGAATAATTATAATCTGTTGAAAATCTGTTATAAATTATTATTATCGAAAAATTTATGATTCCATTTAAAAAAACAAAATTGAGATATATCATATGCTTTATTTATTCTATGCTTACTTAAACAAATATCATTTATGAGTAAATCAGATATTCTTTAATTTTTATTTGATTGATCACGTATAATTTCATAGTTAAAATATTCATAAATTATTCATAATTACAGATTCAATTAAACTTGGAAATACTAACAAACAGTTAGAAACTCTCATCCACGCACACACAAGTTTAAATCTAAGAATTTTACAATCGGATTCGAATCACGATTAATAAGAATGTACGAGGAGTCGGTTCAAAGGGAAAGTAAGTGCATCGTTGTTCGATCATAGGCTTAATACACGATCTCGAGAGAAGAGACTGACTGCATTCCGCGGATGCAAAAGCGCATAGCCGACCAGTGACGTTTCACTATCCCTCTCGCGCGCTTTCTCCTGTGCGCGATAGAGCAAAGCTGATGGATTCAAGCTTTTTCTAGTTGCCACCTGCTCGCTTCTCTAATTACGCCGCTCACGCACCTTAGATTTATTAATCATCACGTTTTTGCCATCATTTGTCGGCCGCTCCTTCACTCAATCAATCCAACGCGTTCTTCAATGAGATTCACGATTCAATTCACGATTTTTATATCGTGAGAGAAGTCGAAATTGATCGAAGTTTTCTTCGAAATGACAATTAATCATCGATAACTCAAACATATTGGATAATGGATGCAGAAGTTCTATATTGTTCATTCGATTGTATGACTTTTTTTTATTTCTTGCAAAGTATTTTTTTGCAACTTTAGAATCTATAAAGTTCAAACATGTTTAACATGTAATAACGTGCAAGTATGGTAATATATTTTTCTCAAATTTATCTAATATAATTATAATATCAGAATATCATAGATATCTTTCAATTGTTAGCACAAAAAACGAAAAGTCATCATGCTTAATTACCTTTCGATCCAGTCGTTTTATCCGTGCATAATGCTTATTATTAGGTCACGGATTTTTTTTGCAAAATTAAATTTTTGTGAATATGACCAAAAAAATGGGGCTTGAATAGAGAATTTGCTTTATTCCTCAAATATTTTAACTTGCTACTATACTTTGAATATTTTGTATCATTTTGCATATTATAAATATTCGCAATCTACTAATTAAGATAAAAGAGATTAAACAATCTTGAATATTTCATTATAGCCTCAAAATCATAATCATTTTATAAAATAAAACGAACGAATAAATCTAACAATAATACGACCCGCAAAGCAATTGCAAAGTAAATTAATGATTTTCAAACATGTTTGAACTTGTCGCAAACGAATAATAATTAATCTTGATAATTTTTCGGGAAACGGTTAATTCGAGAACCGGCAAAATTTTTGAACCCAAATATTATGACAGCACGACGAGCGGTGCCCGCCCACCTATCATTCAACCGAGATCAACTCGCATGGATCTGTTCGCGCGAGCCTTCCCAATAAAATATGTATCGGTTTAAATCGGTAGGCGTCGCCTTATCGCCGGCACGCGTGTCACATTTTCGGCTCGACGCTGTAATTTTTCTTCTTCCCCGTGGCCCTTTCCCCGCGAGTTTCTCTCCTTTATTTTAATAATCGAGCCATACCCACGGGCTTTCACGAAAGTTCGTCCTCGATATTAACGACGGATAAACGCTCGACTCGCACCGTGTTCGATAATTGGTATCGAATGGGTCTTTGCGAATATTTCTTCTTTTTTCCATCCAATTTTTTTTTTTTTTTTATTCTTTTCGACAAAAGCCCGTGGAAAGAATATTTGCTGGAAATTGTGTCAAATTGGAAATTGGAAATTCAATGTCAAATCATCGATTTTGTTGCTATTATTACAGAAATATTCGAATACCGTTGAATGTATTAATTTAAGTCTATAAAAAAAAAAATTGCACGATTACAGGAAATATCTTCTGTTCGAGTAGAGAATTAGTAATCGGTAGTTGAAGTTTGAAGTAGCGATATCTAGAATTCGATCTTTAACGATATAGTTTAATAGTCGTGCAGTAAGAATGCTAATCTACGCTTAATGAAGTCTAATCACCGATCTGTTACAAGTTATAATAGCTCGTCTAGAAATATATCGTGGCCGTAAAGTTGATCAAGCAAAAAATCCGAACTCGTACCGATTACCACCGACAACGTTATATATATTCCATCGCGACGTCAATTGCACCGTCGATTGATACAACGATTTACGACCGCGTTACGATGTACGTATCTCTATACCGAGATTACATATATATATACATGAATATATACATGTATATCTCGAGGAGAAACACACTTGTGTTGAACGAAGGTAGCAACGTGGAGAATCCGGTCGATTAACGATCGAGCGGCCTCGACCCCCTCGGGAGATGGTGAAAAAGGGGGACACGGTCCCCGAAAAATAGGAGGAGCCACGAGGGCCATATGCTTTTCGCACAATATGTCGCGTTTTTACCGACCGAGCGGTGGGAGCGAATCCGGTCGCAGATGTGACGAGAGGAGAGAAAGAGGGCCGTCGCCGATACGATCAGCGAAACAAAGGGCGGCCACCACCAGGTATATGTTCACCCCCCTCTCTCTTCTCTCTCTCTCTCTCTATCTCTCTCTCTGCCTCTCCCCCCCTCCCGAAATAATAAAGTCGTGGCACATATCGGGCTCACGTGAAAACGCATTGTGCCGACGTGTCTCTTCCACGGAAATTCCAGCCGAGCGTTTATTATGAACCGGGTACAGAGTCCAACGTGCTCGAAAGCCCCGATGGGCCAGATAGCAAGGGTTGAAACTCTCTCTCTCTCTCTCTCTCTCTCTTCTCGTGCCGCTCAACCGACCCGTCCGCCATCTTTGATCCATCGTGGAGATAGGCCTCGAACAGCTGGGAACTTTTCGC